GTGATTCATGCTGAGCTTTGGGAATGAAAAGTGCACTGGTTGAACAGTCACTACCTCATGGGGTTTATAGTCCAGCTTCAACCTCACATTTTGTCTTTAACATAAAACACACACTTTCTTGGTGGGGGATAGTGGCTAGGGAACATTTTATTGGATTTTTTTTTTAAGATTTTTTTTTTATTTATACAAGCACTGGGTACAATCAGAAGCTCGGGAGGGTGAGAGAATTCACCAGAGATAGAGCAGGGAGCAGAACAGGCAGACTGATGAAGTACACTGCTGAGGGGAGCAGTAGGAGTGGCAGGAAAGGTCTGCGTGCCATGTGCGACCCTCGCCCAGTGGCCGGGGATCGAACCGGCGCTGCAGAGGCTGCGGGCAGCTTCGCAGCCCAGCGCTCAACCGCTGCGCCACCGGGGAGGCCCCTTTTTTGGATGTTTTAAAAAGTTGAGGTTTTCCGGGGGCCTCCCCAGTGGCCCAGCAGTTAAGCGCTAGGTTGCGATGCTGCCCGCAGCCTCTGCAGCGCCGGTTCGATCCCCGGTTGCTCCCTGGCCTCTGGAGGAGGGTCCCACATGGCACTCAGACCTCTCCTGCCCCCCGCTGCTCTCCTCTGTAGTGTACTTCGGTCCTTCTGCCTGCTCTGCTCCGCACTCTGGCTCTGGTGAATTCTCTCACCCTCCCGTGCTTCTGAATGTACACAGTGCTTGTATAAATAAATAAATAAATCTTTAAAAAAAAAAAAAAAGCTGAGGTTTTCCAACATACCTCTGCAACCATAAAAGAAAATCTAATTTGTTCTAGAACAACAGTGAATGGTTGAGATGCCTCAGGCCCCTCAGGTGGAACTCAATACCTCTACTTCCTTTTCTGTTTTGCTGCTAGCAGCAAGTATTTTAAATTATTAGGATTTTAAAATTATGTTTACAACAACATATAAAAATCCTTTTCTGTATATCAATGAGATTTAACTTAGTTTCGTAAAGGTACCATATTGTTAGAATCTGTGGGCTACTATTTATGTTTATTTCTTTCTTTAAAAAAAGTACACTAGTGTTTTGACTATTTAAATATACCAACCATAAGCTAAGAAGAATATGCATAACAATTTCAAGTGAATACTTACAGCAGCACTTACATGTTTGCTATTTTCCCACCCACATATCATTTGCCAATTTGCAATTTGCCAATTGCAATTCAACAAATGTTCTAGCAAAACCATCTCTCATCTATATAATTGAGAGGTTAAGTATAATGTATGCTCTGGACAGGTTTAAGTATGTAGTAGAAATAATTCAAGAATACTGTGCAACTCTTTCCTCCTTGGCATTCATAAAAACCTTTGTCCTTACTCTCTTACTACAATGTAAACAATAAAATACATGAACATTCAACAGGAGAATGAAGAATTCACTAAGTTAACTATGAAAGAATTGCAAAGCCCTATGAAGTTTCCTATTAAACAGCTACTTGGATCATGGTATACTTTTGTTTAAGATCCTCAGTGCTGGTTTGACAACCATACAAAAGTGTGAAGATTCCATTTGAAAAAACTTTAAATTTTTAAGTATATGCCTGATTTTATTCCAAGTGGATAACAGTAAGAAACAGCAGGTGAAATTTTGTGAAAGGAAGATAAAGAATTTTTAAGGTTGATAAGGGAGGAAGGGATGAGGATTTCATTCATAGAGCTAAAACTCTGCTCCTCGATGCTCGGAAGGGTTTTCAACCTAGAGATCTTTTTCTCAGGGGATCTCCATACCAGTCCATGAGCTGTATACTGTTACCCCAGTTTCTCAGAAGGGAGGGTAACTTGAAAGGCTAATTTGTCCAAGCTCACGTACCCGTCAAATGGCAATCGGTTACCTGAGCCACAAAGGATCTAAATCTCCTGTTGACTCAGCAATCCACATCAGTGAGGACACACTCAAGGTCTGGGGGTTCAGCAGATGGTGGCCTTGGCATAAGGCAATGTTAGCAAAGAGCAGGATAATCACTAAGAGCCCTTGCTATCATTAGCTGAGACCCAGGTGAAAGTTCCCTCTCCATTTTCCTGAACATTAGAGACCTCACAGACATCACAGAAAATACACTCCAACTGTCAGCCTTTGCATTTCAAGTCACCACAACAAACTCGAACCCCTTCCCCATATTTTTTTATGGTGTACACTTTAAATTTAGAATATGGACATCTAAGTGCTGAGTGACTATCAGCCTCCTGGGTAGGTTATTGTTAGGTAGTACAGCTCTACAGCTGTCAGAGTTTATAATTAGTTGCTCAATTGTTTTCATTTACTTTTATAGATATAGATACATTATATATTTATACTTAATATTCTGTTGACTAAGAAAATATTAACTCTAAAATTTCTGTGCTGAAACATATGTATTCTTGCCTGCTGTAGAAAAACTACACTCTACCCTAAAATTTCTTCCCCCACCTTAATGTGACTAACGAACTCCTTTTGTTAACTTACAAAAGATAAAACAAATCAAAATATAACCTAGGAAGCATAAATACAAAATAAAATATTAGCAGACATTCCCCCAAAGAATGTCACATGCATAATGAGAACTTAAATGGTTCACTATATGAAACTTTTTTGCAGTTATTTTTAATTTTGTCTCTTTGATTTACTTTAATTGATATATTCATTCTGTTAAGTAAACTTGGAGAAAATCCAAAAATACTATAAAAGCTTCCCTTTTGCTCAGTCCTCAGAACTCATTTTCTTTAAATTACATCTTTTTTGCCTTCAACCAGCTCTTTTAATGCCTATATTTTTGGCATTGTAGAGTGAAGCTTCAAAAATAAAATTAGTGGGGCAGCATGAAGATACAAATTTAAAAAAAATAATTTGGGAAATAGTCAAATTTTATGTCAAATAATATCATGCAATTCTCTAACAATTTTAGTTGAATATTATTTTCACTCAATACTTTCATAAGCATTTCCAAATTAGCTACAAAACCGATTTGTTTCTTAAAGAGAATAAGAATAATTATTTTCTCCTATAGAAATGGCTTCTTCATTGGTACATAAATATCTACTGGTACACAGAGCAGTATTTATATATAATATAGACATTTAATATATATTCACATATAATTATATGGATATTGCTGATTATCATATCAACATCTAATATTTATGACACTTTAAAAACGCCAAGCAATCTTGTATATATTGCCTCTTTTCTAATCCTCATCAGAGTTCTGTGAGTTAGGTCATTGTTCCCACTTTAGGAAGGCATGAGTTCAGAGAAGTCATATGAATTGTCTAACATTGCTGAAAGTAACAACCACTATATTATTAAATAATAATAGTAACAACAATAACAGAAGGGTAGCAAATGAAGATTGGTGAGCACATACTCTGTGCCCCTCACTATGCAAGAGCATAATAAATGCTGTTATTTAATCCTCAAAGCAGTGCTTTTAGGTAACTATTATCCCTCCTTTACAAATGAGTCTGCAGCTTGGGAAGGATAATAGCATGCCCCAAACCAACAGGCCAATCCAGAATTCCAGCTGGGACAATCTGACTCCCAACCTGCCCGCTCAGTGAGTGTCCTGTACATCTCAGGGCTGACCTTTAAATCCAGACCTTCAGATTCCCCACCTGATGTACCTTCCATAAGGACAGAAAGGCTTACGCCTGACCTCCAGGCAGCACCCTCCACACATGAGGGCACGAGCCTTACCTCATCACTGCAAAGCTGGCTGAATTCTCCTTCCCTCGCTCATCCTACACTGAGCTCTTGTGAGGTCAGGACCTAATCTGTCCCCAGTGTCACTGCCATCCTTGGCTTCCATAGGGAGGTATGGAAATTCACAAACAAATCTGTCTTCCATCTTTGAGATTCAGAAGCTCCTTTCAGAAGCTCCTTTCCTCTGCTTTACACAAGGAGAATCACATCTCAGGAAAAGCAGACAAGCATGGGATAATCTCTGAATGAAAAACTATGCCTGCCCCCCCCCAAAAAAAAAGATTGCTTCCAGGGAGTCAGATATACCACCAAGAAAATAAGATTTTGTTGTGTGTCCAGTCGTACTATGAAAAGGAGGAAAAAAGGATTTGGGTGGCAGAATAAAGTGCTAATTTGGAATCAGTGTTCTACTAGTCTATGATCTACAACTAATTTTATTTGTGGAAATGGACAAGTCATTTCTTCTCAATTTCTTTATGTGCAAAAGTAGTGCTAATATTCTTACAAATCTATCATTCAGTGTCACTTTCTACTAGTTGAGGTAGCACCAAACTACCACTGTGTGTGAGAGAGAAAGAGGGAGGGAGAGAGAAGGAGGAGCAGGAAGAGGAATATAAGAATAGGCATTTAAATAAACATGAAAAAGAAAAGAAAGTTTTTAAATATCCATAGCATGGTAAATATTTTATAGAATGTAACAATTAAACCTGATTCAAAATGGCTTCACTTGTCAGAAGTGGGGCATTTTGTTTGTTAATCCAAGAGCAAATTAGAGATTTATTTTGCCATAATATCCTCTTCTGAAGAACAATCACTCTCATTTAGGATTCTAAGATTTACAGATTGAAAAGTCTTAGATTTCGAAAATCAACGACAATAACAATCTGCTTCTTTCAGTGTATGTGCTTGCATGGTTTTATTTTAAGGAGTGTCCTTCTTTTGACAACTGGTGATCCATGTCCCTGAAGGGTAAAAGGAGATATATTTTATGTACTAGGTAGTAGTTCCTTTGATATATGCAGAATAAACTTTTCATTTACTTCCTTTTTCTAGCTGACACTTTTTGCTGATTTATTGCAAGCTAAAGGATAAATATATGGGTGTGCTTGATGTAATCTGGAAAGCATCTCTCTAGTTCTAAAGTGGTAAAGAAACTACTTTCCATCATTTAATTCTCTCACAAATAAAGGAGTGGTTTTATTTTTTGAATGCAAAAGGAAGTTATCTTTTAAAACTTCTCAATTCCTTTCTCTACCTGATACATTTTTTTTTTTTTTTTACAATTATGTGTTTCAGGCCCTGCTTGATACTCAGAATCTTTTGCGTGCACAAATTACAAATTTTACCTTCAACCTGGGCTTTTCAGGGAAATTTTACCACACAGGTAAGAAAAAGGAGAGGAACTATTCTCATGGCCTCTCCTACCTCCTTCTTCAAATTTGCATACCCTTCCTGTTCACACCTTTCTCCTCTCCTTCCCATGCCCCTCCCTCCTTTGTTTTCTTCTTAGTATTCCATTCCATTTAACACACTTCCTTTTCCCTGTTAGAAAATGCTAGTGACTTGAAAGGTTATTCACCGTTTATTATCTAATGGTCTTCATTTCCTATTGAACTACAACCTACATATAGAAAAGTTCATAAATAATAAGTATAAGCGTTCACAAATTGACACAAAATATACACCACTGTGTGGCCAGCATGCACACCAAGGAAGAAAATGTTACCAGAACTCCCCCACCTGTGCTCCCAGTTACTAGCAAAGAAAACCACTATCTTGTCTTCTGTATCAGTCAGTCTGGCTTTGAGATAAGTGTAAAAGGAATTATACATAGACTTTTCTGTGTCCAGCCTATTTTGTTCAACATCATTTTGGTTTCACAGATACTATTGTATATAGCTGGAAATTTTTCATTTACATTTCTTTACAGTATTTCATCATTAGAATATGCCAACGTTTCTTTATTCCATTTCTTTGAAATGTGGATGATTGATTTCTAGTCTTTGATCCTTTGGTAATTGTCATGTTACCTGTCCTTGCAAGGACAAAAGTAATCTTTTCTGTTAACTATCAACCAGGAGTAGAATTGCTAGTTATATCGATGGTTATGATCAGTTTTAGCACAAAATGCCAAAGAATTCTTCAATTGTTGTACCTATTTATATCCCCAATGGTATATGTTTCCCTGTTGCTCTCCGTCCTATTAATATTTGATGTTGTCTTTGTAATTTCAGCCTTTCTGGCAAGCATTTAGAGATATACATGGTTTTAATGTATATTTCTCTGATGAGTGAAGAAATTGAGCTTCTTTCATGTTTATTGGCTTTTTGGGCATCCTCTTGTGAAGTATCTTTTTTTCCAGTTTTACTTAGTGATTTATGGAATTTCTTTATATATTCTTACTGAGTCAGTCCTCCATCAGTTATTAGGTGCAAATACTTTGTCCTTTTGTGTGGCTTGTCTTCTCACTCTCCTATGGTGTTTTTGATGAACAAAAATACTTAACATAACATGGTCAAATTTATCTTCTTTTTGCTCGATGGCCAGCCAACTGTTTGTGTCTTTTAAAAGACATCTTTATATACTGCAAGATCATGAAAATATGTTCTTACATTCTGAAAATATATGTCTGTGATCCATCTGGAATTGGGTTTTGTATATATGTTAAGAGGAGTAAAGATACCTTCTTTTTCTTGTGCAAAGTAAACCATCAACAAAATAAAAAGGAAACCTACTGCATGGGAGAACATATTTGCTAATCATGTATCAAAAAGGGGCTAATATTCAAAATATATAAAAACCTTATATAACTTAATAGCAGAAAAAATCTAATTTAAAAATAGGCAGAGTATCCTTCACAAACTCTTCCAAAAAATTGAGAAGGAAGGGACAATACCAAACACGGTCTATGAAGCCAACATTACACTAGTACCAAAACCAAACAAGGACAACACAAAAAAGGAAAACTACAGGCCAATCTCTCTAATGAACACTGATGCAAAAATCCTCAATAAAATTTTAGCTATCAGAATCCAACAATGTATCCATAAGATAATTCACCACGACCAAGTAGGATTCATTCCAGGGACACAAGGATGGTTTAACATCCGAAAATCAATCAACATTATCCAACACATCAACAAAAAGAAATATAAAAACCATATGATAATATCAATAGATGCTGAGAAAGCTTTCAACAAAGTGCAACACCCATTCATGATAAAAGCCCTTGAAATTCTTGGGATACAAGGAACATACCTCAACATCATAAAGGCCATATATGACAAGCCAACAGCCAGTATCATTCTCAATGGTGAAAAGCTGAAAGCATTTCCATTGAGATCTGGAACATGACAAGGATGTCCACTCTCACCACTGCTTTTCAATATAATACTGGAAGTCCAGGCCAGAGCAATAAGACAAGAGAAAGACATACAAGGAATCCAAATAGGAAAAGAAGAAGTCAAACTATCACTATTTGCAGATGATATGATAATATACATAGAGAACCCCAAAAACTCCGCAGAAAACTAATTCAACTCATCAATCAGTTCAGTAAAGTGGCAGGATACAAAATCAACATGCAAAAGTCAGTAGCCTTCCTATACACAAACAATAAATCTGAAGAAGGAGAAATCAAAAAAACCATCCCTTTTATTATCAAAACAAAAAAAAATCAAATACTTGGGAATAAATCTAACAAAAGAGGTAAAGGACCTATACAAAGAAAACCATAAAACACTGTTCAAAGAAATAGAAGAAGACACAAAGAAATGGAAAGACATAAAGAAGAATAAACATTATTAAAATGGCCATCCTACCAAAAGCAATATACAGATTCAATGCTATTCCAATAAAAATTTCAATGTCATTCTTCAAAGATATAGAACAATTATTGATGAAATTCATGTGGAATCACCAAAAACCTCAGATAGCCAAAGATTTCCTGAAAAAAAAAAAAAAAGAAGGGAATGGAGGCATCATACTCCCAGACTTCAAACTATACTACAAAGCCATAACCATCAAAACTGCATGGTATTGGAACAAGAACAGACACACAGACCAATGGAATCGAGCAGAAAATCCAGAAATAAACCCACAGATTTATGGTCAACTAATCTTTGACAAAGGAGCAAAGAATATGATTGGAGCAAAGAAAGTCTGTTCAATAAATGGTGCTGGGAAAACTGGGACGCTACATGCAAAAGAATGAAGCTTGACCACTACCTCACACCATACACAAAAAGCAACTCAAAATGGATTAAAGAACTAGACATAAGGCCTAAAACCATAAAATACATAGAAGGAAATATAGGAAAAATACTATGTGATATGCGCATCAAAGACATCTTTACAGACAAATCACCCAAAACAGTGATAATGAAGGCAAAGATAAACAGCTGGGACTACATCAAATTAAAGAGCTTCTGCTCATCAAAAGAGACAATAACAAAAACAAAGAGAAACCCCACCAACTGGGAGAACATTTTTGCACACAACACTGATGATAAAGGACTGATCACAAAAACCTGCAAAGAGTTGATGAGACTTAACAACAACAAAGAAAATAATCCAGTCAAAAAATGGGCAGAAGAGCTAAAAAGAAACTTCTCTGAAGAGGAAATGCAAATGGCCAACAGGCATATGAAAAAATGTTCAACATCACTTGTAATCAGGGAAATGCAAATCAAAACTACCATAAGATACCATCTTACACCAGTGAGAATGGCACATATTAAAAAAACTAGCAACAACAAATGTTGGCGAGGGTGTGGAGAAAAAGGAACTCTCCTGCACTGCTGGTGTGAGTGCAAACTGGTCCAACCACTATGGAGAGCTGTGTGGAGATTTCTGGACCTACTAAACATAGAGCTTCCATATGATCCAGCAATTCCACTCCTAGGTATTTACCCAAAGGACACAGAAACATCAATTCCAAAAAGCACAAGCACCCCTATGTTTATAGCAGCACTGTTTACAATAGCTAAGCTTTGGAAACAACCCAAATGCCCAAAAATAGATGACTGGATCAAGAAGGTGTGGTACATATACACCATGGAATATTACTCAGCATTCAAAAAAGATAAACACATGCCATTTGCAGCAACATGGATGGCACTGGAAGGGATCATGCTCAGCGAAATAAGCCAGAAAGATAAAGAAAAATACTGGATGGTCTCACTCATAGCAGGAATCTAGAAAACTTAAATAAGGGACCAGGAAAATGAATAACTATAGAAAGTGAAAATCAAAATCAACAAAAACTATGAACCAGACTTTCTATGGGGGGTGGGGGGTGGGGAGGGGAGGGATTGGGGTCAAAATAAGGGGGTTGCAATTGTATGGGGAATATAAAAATAAAATTTATTTAAAAAAATAAAAAATAAATAAAAAATAGGCAGAGGATTTAAATAGACTCTTCAAAAAAGAGGTACAGATGGTTAACAGATACATCCAAAGATCAGCAACACTAGTCATCAGAGAAATACAAATCAAAATGACAATGAGATAGCACCTCACAACTGTTAAAATGGCTATTATCAAAAAGACAATAATCAGCAAATTATGGTGAGGATGTGGAGAAAAGGTAACTTTTGTGTGTTGTTAATGGGAATGCCAATTGGTGCAACCGCTATGGGAAACAGAATGGAGGGACTTCAAAAAATTAAAAATAGAGCTATCACTAGAAATAGATCCAGCAGTTTCATTGCTGGGTATTCATCTGAAGTTAAAAATTTTAACTCAAAAGATACATGCACCCCCATGTTCACTGCAGAATAATCCACAGTAGTAGAGAGATGGAAGCAACCTAAGTGCCCATCAATATGTATGGATAAAGATATATATATATATATATATATATATAGAGAGAGAGAGAGAGAGAGAGAGAGAGATAATGAAATTTTATTCATCCATAAAATACAATAAAATCTTGCCATTTGAGACAACATGAATTGACCTTAATGACATTATGCTAAGTAAAATAAGTCAAAAAGAGAAACACAAGTGCCATATGATCTTATTTGTAAATCAAAAATAAAAATAAAAACTCATTCATATGGAAAACATAGTGGTGGTTGCCAGAGACAGGGAGTAGGTAATGGGCAAAATGAATGAAGAGAATCAAAAGGTACAAAATGACAATTACAAATAAGTCATGAGGACAATATTAATAATACTGTCTTGGAAATTTGAAAATGATAGAGTAGATCTTAAAGGTTTTCATCATACAAAAAAAAATTGTAACTATGCATGGTGAACTATGCATGGTTAACTAGACTTACCATGCTTACCATTTCATAGTAGATACAAATGTCAACTATTATGTTATAAACCTAAAAGTAATAATGTTATATATCAGTAATATCCAAACTTTAAAAAAAGTCTTATTTTTCATTTCATATTCCATTTCTTTGTCAATGACACATAAAAACAAAATTGATTTTCTATATTGACATTGAATCCAGCAACTTCCTTTATTCACTTACTACATCTCTAGTTGCAGATTCTCATGGACCTTATACCTATACAAAGATGCAACTTTGAATAGTGAAATTTGTATTTCTTCCTTTCACGCCTTCTGAATTTACTTTCTTTTTCTTGCCTGTGGCACTAGTTTGGATTTCCAGTACAAAATTAAATAAGAGTGGTGATGGTGACACTTCTCTCTTGTTCTAACCTCAGGGGGAAATCTTTCAACAGCTTTGTTCTGGTTCACAAGGGAAACTTCTTCAAAAGAATATTTTGTAGAAACTCTTTACTAGCTCAAGGAAGCTGCCTTCTGTTCCTAGGTTGCTAAGAATTTCACTTTCAGTGGTTGTTGAATATTCTTTGTTATAAATTTTTTGTGTTCCTCCTCCCTCACTAAAATGAATCCTCCATGAAGACACACTGCTGTAACATCAGCAGCTAGAACCATGCCTTTGAAAAGTGAATTAGGGAACAAATAATTGAGTCAAATAAAATCATGTTCATGTTAACTATTACGATGTATATGCAATGAGGTCCTAATTTGACCATGTTGTGTTATTACAGAAAATCATTTTAAATATTAAGGACAATTAAAAGTTTCTCAAATGTAAGAAAAGACTCCTGGCAATTTTTTGTGAAACCCTAAGTGCTAAAGAGTGACTCTAATCAGCAGTTCTTCTTCTGAAACATTTGTCTGCTTTCTTCGCTTGGGCACTCAAGCTCACAATATGAATGTTCTCTCCTTAAGCCAAAGAAGTAGAACAGAGGGGGAAGCGAAGGCTGAGGCTTGAAGGGGTCTTGTTATTTATGTATGATAGGAAAGCTTCCACTAAAACATAGCAAAGGTTGCCTAAAACCAGTAAACTCCATTTGCAGTGGGAAAATATATAAAATTTAATACTCTGAATCTTTCAAAAATTAGATATTGTAAAGCTTAATTGAATTACAGTAACTTCCTTTTTAAATGAGTAATTCCTTTTTCTATTAAAAATTCTATCATTTTCAATCTTGAAGGGAAGGAGAAAAACAGCACTATAATAATAGTAATACTTTATTTCAGCAGCAGGTATCATCTTTTTTGATTTATTTTAATATTGAAGGATTTGTGCATTTTATAAGAAATAGATGAAGGACATAAAAAGCATAGCTCCCTTTTAGTGAGCCATGCTATATTCTAGGTACATAGCTAAGGACTTTTCATTGAATTCTAGAAGTTAAAGAATGTTACCTTGTTTTCTAGATAAGAACACAGATACTTGAGGAGGTCCAAGATCATACAGCTAGTTAAGTGTCCAGAATAGTCTTAACTTTTGGTCAGTCAGAGCCCAGGACAATCCACCACAACAACTATGCGTCAGCTACTCTTCATCATAATGTTTAAAGTAATCATCAGTAGGCACTTTTCCACAGTGTCATCAGTTCTAAAAACAACCCTAACTTAGGACTAAAGGAAATAAGAACTATAAAGGAAAAAAGAAAGGCATAAATTGTCACTACTGTGAATTTACGTAAATCTGCAGAGGGCAGACATCATTTGTCTAATCCATGCATGATTCAAATGTATGAATATTTTAATAGCAGATTTCACCATGACATTCAGGAAAGAGAAGAAATGCCTGAACTAATGTTCTAAAGAAGCCTGATCTCTGTTGCTCTATACTGAAAAATAAATGTTGGGTAAAGGCCAACTTAAAAAAGATAAGATGAGAAGAAAGATACAGAGAAAGACAGGAGTTCTAAGAGACAAGGAGTAGAAATTAAGGCAGTAGGAGTGGTGACTTTTCATAAACTAGGAAATCTCGGCTCACTTTACACACTCACCTTACCAAGGGAAAGTGGAGATCGGGAATAAATCAATCACCGGCAAAACCCCAGAGTCTTCTGTGTGTTTTCAGTATGGCAAAGTAAGACTTCAGTAAGTAACTGGCAGTAACCATAACTAACACAGTATCCTGAGGACACATAAAATGTTGTGCAGAAGCAGAGTAATCTTGGATATAAATGGAGATGTTTAACCGCAGGGGAACCAAATGACATGATCCTTATGTCAAAAAGAAAAACCAGGGCCTCCCCGGTGGCGCAGCGGGTTGAGCACAGCGCTGTGAAGCTGTCCGCAGCCTCTGCAGCGTGGGTTCGATTCCCGGCCAGCCAGGGAGATACCCACATGGTGCGGTAGGCCTCTCCTGTCTCACCTGCTGCTCCCATCAGCACTGTATTTCAGTCAGTCCGCCTGCTCTGTTCCCCACTCTGTATCTGGTGAATCCTCTCACCCTCCTGTGCCTCTGGCCTGTACCCTAGCTGTTGTATAAATAAAAAATAAATCTTAAAAAAAAAAAAGAAAAAGAAAAACCAAAAACCCAGAAACAGGTAGCAATGCTTCTTTACCAGGGCTACATTATTTATACCTAAAAGGTATAAATAGGATCTAGGTCCCTGGCATGAGTGGAGTCATCTTCCTATTCCTATGTCAAGTGAGTGAAATAGCATGATCCTTCACCAATGAAAATGAAAGGAAAGACCGTCCTTGGTGAAGGATCATGCTATACCATTCATTCGACATCACTAATCCTTTCTCCTCTGTTATAAGTTAGAAGGTGCATGTAGCCTTGTACTGTGCCTGCATCCGTAAGTGGCTTTCATTGCCCAATAAATCACTGGGTAGGATTCTTTTTCTGCCAGCGGGCTCTGCCTTCTTTCTCTTGGGAAACTTAATGAAACAACAGTGGTAATAGGCACTGGGCTCAGAGGCTAGACAAGGGCAGCAGGCCATCCTCCATCCTAGCCTGAAGGGTCTTATTAAAACCAGTCACATCAGAACTGCTATTAAAAATATGGGTGAAAATTTTCTAAATACAGAGGGGAAAACTTTTTGAGAGCCCATGGCTCTAGGATCTTACTGGATTCAGTGTTGTGGCTGAAAATTAAGTGTTACTGCATCATTCTGTGATGATTAATATCATTTTCTGATACTAGGACAGGAGGGAGACACCTTATACTGCTCTCATTTCATGCTTTAGTAAAGAAAGTGCCTGGGGAAGTACAAAGAGTCTCCTACCCCCTCAGTTATGAAAACTGCAGAATTGCCCACAGCCAAGTAAACAACAGATGAGGGGAAACGGAAGAAATAAAACAAGTCCAAACATGAAAATTTACAGGAACAACAACAGGACTGGTTCTCAAGGAAATATGAATTTTTTGATGGAAAGTCTGCTTCTAACAACCAGAGAAAAAGGACAAGCACAAGAACCATGAATACCACCAGGGAGTACTAGGATTTTGTACGACGATTTGATCACTTCTCAGCTCCTTTTTGCCTTAGGTTTTCTCTAATTATCCCCAGTAACAATTCCTACATTTCCTTTTTTTCTGCTTTTTATGCATTAGTTTGCACCACATATTTCTAAGTAGCTTGTCAAACCTAAGGAGGAGCTCAAATAAATTATGGAAGTATTTTATTGTGACTGTTTTTATGTAACTCATGTATCTTGGAGCTCTGCCACGCATTCCATTACTCATATTCCTTCAAATACATTTCCCAGTTACCCCTATTCTCTCCAAACTAGAAATCACACAAACATGCTGAAAGTTAAGCAATCTCATGTCCTTGGAAATGTTTGTATATTTCCATCTTGCAGTTGTTTTTTCAACCATGCCTCATGTTTAAAAACTTTTTGCTGGGGCCTCCCTGGTGGCACAAGGGGTTGAGTCTCAGCCCTATGAAGCTCTTGCAGTCACTTCAGCAGGAGTTTGATCCCCGGCCAGGTGACCCACGTGGCACAGGAGAACCTCTCCTGTGTTGCCCACTGCTCTCCTCAGCAGTGTATTTCAGTCAAGCCACCTGTTCTGCTCCTCACTCTGTCTCTGGTGAATCCTCTCACCCACCACCCCCACATCTTTGGCTTACACCCCAGCTCTTGCATGCATAAATAAATAAATCTTTAAAAATAAAAACTTTTTTGCTTTCGTCACAGTCTCTGTTTGTTACTCAAATATATATTCTTTACTACATTTCATGCATAAAGTATTACATTTATCTAAGTATAAATGGTGTCTTTGAAATACATATATAGGAGTACATAATCAGATAGATAGATAGACAGACAGACAGACAGACAAATAGACAGATAACCAGTGTAACCAATTCACTGAATAATCTTTTCTCCCCAAAGGAACTGAAGAGGAAGATGAAGGGGATGACCATCTCTTGGGGTCAGTGGAGGAGTTTTGGTGGTTTCCCCACATGTGGAGCCACATGCAGCCCCATCTCTTCCACAATGAGTCATCTTTGGTGGAGCAGATGATTCTCAACAAAAAATTTGCCTTAGTAAGTAACTCACTTTGAATATTATATTGAACTAATTTACATTAACTACAGAAACGATCTGCATTTATATGTATAACCTCTTAGCAATTTATCATATTGACACTTTTTAATCATGCTTTTCTATGTGGTCATTAGAACAACTAACTTATTATTGAAGCCTTTCAGTTTGTGACTCTTGAGGATATACTGGGTTCTCATTACTATGCTTAATGCTGTGAGGGTTCTATTTAAGAGAAACTTTATAAGACACTCTGAGGACTTGATGACATGACATAGCTCCTGTCCAGAAGGAGCTTCCTGTCACATTGGGAGGCTAAAGCATGCACACATAAAAATTCTTCAACAAAATGAAAAATAATATAAATTATAATAAAATAATTAGAGATTATTTAATTATAAAATTAAATTATAAAATAATTAGAAATTTTTATTTAAGAATTCATTGCCAACACCAGATGATACTTAGCACTGTTATGGATAATAGTAAACCATACAGACATAAAACTGACAGTTCAGAGAAATAAGTGTTGTTGGGAGAAGCCAGGGAAATGTTCTTGTGGAAACAGAATTTCAGGAACACTCTGAAATACGAATAAGATCCAGTGCCAGGATGAACTGGAGTGAAATGAGTCTGAGGGAAAAGACCAGGTAGACCATATTGTGGCACAAGGTCATGAAAACTCAGCTGAGGAAGGCAAAGGAAAGGGGAAGAAAACCATTTTAATGGCAATTGCAAACATGAGATAGGGATGGAATATTTGCTTGACTGAAGCAAGATACTGTTTTACAATGAAGAGTTTTTGATTTGGCACAGGGAAATTTACAGCAAAGGTTGTTTTCAAAAGTACAGCATGTGGGATAATGTGACTGGGATCAGAGGAGATAATATGCAGTCATTAACAAACCACTGGGGCATGTGCTGGGTAGGAGATGGTGTTTTATCTTTGTTTTTATGAATTCTAATGGGCACATAAACACATGGAGGGAGTCGAGAAAGCTACTATACATTCATTCAGTCTTCTCCTTTATTATGTGTCCATGCAAAGGCTACTTAACTCAATGGAAACTATTCTAGAGGAAATTTTGCCTTAATTATCTTCTCTACCCAGAATAAGCAAAAGCTTAACCAATGCTAATATTGGTTTTCTAAATTGGGTCACATCCTACTTGTCTTTGGAGTTTTGAATTAACAACGAGCATGAGTGTTTTCCAAAGAAGGAACTGAAAGAATGCAGAGAGAAGCAATGGGAACACCTGGGTGTTCAAACAAGATTGGAGGTCATGAATAGAACACAATATTCAAAGGAGTGATTGAATTAGAATACATGTAAAGTAACTTTCTATCTAAAAGAATCTAAGACTTCCATGTACAACTCTTGTTTTGGGCCTTCTCTATCACTGATAGTCAAACACTGGCTGTTTTCATTGTGTTTAGCAAACACATCTGATCTATTATCCTTCTGCACAATGTGGACACTCAAAACAGAATTTTATGTCAATTTTAATGTAGCTTTGAAAGCTCTGTCAAATAGCTTATTACAGAAAACCAAGCAAATCTTTTAAACAAACTTGCATTTGATGGCTCCAGTCATTAAGAAATGCAGTAAAAGAGGCTGATTAGAAAATATTTTAATTACCAAGTATAGTTTAATTCAGACACTTACATGACATTTCAGCAGATGACTTTTTTAGAAAGGTGCCATTTTTGAGGCAAGAATAAATTGTAATGTTGACAATAGATCTACAACACCATTTGAGGTTGTCGAGGTATCATACAACTTTAAAAATTAGACAAAATTCCATCAGAAAAGTATAATAATTTATTGACTGTAGACCGCAAAAAAAATAATCAGTATATATATATATATATATATATATATATATACACTCTCAATTGAAGAACGAATCTACATTTTGATATTTATGGTAGTTTAATTTTCAATGATAAAATAATTAGAAATTTTAATTAAGAATTCATTGCCAACACCAGATGATACTTAGCACTGTTATGAATAATACTATTATATTACTAGTAGTAGAACAGTGTTTGTGTAAACATCAAATCTTGCCAAAGCTTGCACCGCTGATTGCATTATCATTATTCTTTCAAATAGTGTCCTTCCTTTCCTCTTTTCTAAGTTCAGCAGAACCTGCTAATTTACATTAACTGGAATGTAATGTCAATTATGCAACTTTTTAAAAAAAATTTTAAAGCAAAAAAAAAAAAATTTTAAAGCTTTTTTTTTTTTTTAAGATTTATTTATTTATACAAGCACTGGGGTAAGTCAGAAGCGCAGGAGGGTGAGAGAATTCACCAGAGCCAGAGCAGGGAGCAGAACAGGCAGAGTGACAAAGTACACTGCTGAGGGGAGCAGTGGGCAGCAGGAGAGGTCTGTGCACCATGTGGGACCCTCCCCCAGTGGCCGGAGATCAAACTGACTTTGCAGAGGCTGCAGGCAGCTTCGCAACCCAGCGCTCAACCACTGTGCCACTGGGGAGGCCCCAATTATGCAACTTTTTAAATTAGTGAGCACATTAACTTTTCTAATACAGAAATAAAGATTATAGTATCAAAATGTAATTTAGAATATATTGAAAGACTTGCTGGCTTAAGGAATATATGATAATCTTTTCATTAGTTTGCTTGCCAGATAAAATGAATGCTATCATCTTTACTTCAGTAAAGCATTTTCTAAAAAGGGACATTAGATGTTCATTTTATTGATATTGAAAACAAAGTATAATTCTAGTGGACCTGTTAGGGGGAAATGATGTCCTGAGCTAATCCCATACAGGCTTTGTGGACTCCACCCCCACTCCAGACTAAAGCCATCAAGACATTGGGAAAAACAAATCCCATCACCACCAAGGGAGGGTGGCTGGGACCTGAGGGTGGAGTTGGGTAGCCAGGTTGGATATAAAAACCAAACACGTGGGCCTTGGGCTCTCTGGCTCGCAATCGCTCGCCTCCTGGCTTCACCACTCCTGGCTGGCGGCCAACTCTGAGAGCGCCATTTTGGGATTCCTGATCAGCGGATTGGGTAGGACTCATTTAAAACTTTGTCTACCACTTTTCTCCCAGAGCTGTACATTTCCTCTTTTCCCCTTCCCTTGTAAATAAACCTTTTATGAACCTTTCACGTGTGCCTGCAGTAGAGCATTGATAAGTCCTTTTAAGCGCGCGTGTGAGGCCCCGCAGTCAGGCACCCCGTTTTGTATCAGGGTTGCTCTACAACAGACCTAATAGAAATAGAGTTCAAGTCGGGATGCGGAAGGTCCCCTCTTGAGCTGGTAGACCACCATTGGAGTAATGCAAGCCGCGCTATTTATGAAAGACCCCAGCCATTACTCAGAGCAAAATGACCTATACGGTGACGTCTGTAACTTACTTCATAAGACGAGCTAAAGCAACTTGGAAAGGGCAAGAGGTAGCAGAATAGGATATTCTTCAGCATGAACATTAACCGTACAAGTACTGGGATGGCAATTCCAGTTATTAAAATGCTGAATGTGTCAACACTCACTGCCCCCCAAACATTTCCCCAGTATGTCCCAAATCTTCCACTCTCTTAGCAACTAAAGAGGCCTGACTTATGGTCTGCAGCATCCAGTTCCAGCTCCATAACTTGCAGAAGCTATGAGTTGTCAGTGGCTTATTGGCTGGGAAATATTTTGAGTACCACCTCTTAATATAGTCAGTGAGTCATATGACCTAGAGTGGACTTGAATCAGTGTATTCAGAAAAGAAATCATAGAAGAGGGAGTACAGTCCTATACTGTAAAGTAGAATTCTTCTTGTACTCCAGGTAACGGTGTACACTGAATGGTAACTGATACCTAGTAGGTTCTGTGTTTGTTACATGAAAATATGTCTTTCCTCTGGATTCTAAGACTTTATCATTACTGTTGTAAAATGTAGGGGTTTATGATTATTCAGATATGTGAGGCAGAAACCGATCAGGAGACAACTGCCACTGAAAAGAGAGTTTGTTCTCACAGTTCCCAAGAGGAGTGGGCCCCACAGGGAAGCTCTAGAGTATGTCAAGAGACAGAGGGAGCAAGGGGGAAGTGCAGGCAAGAGACTGTTTTGGGAAAAGCAGCACATGACAGGATAAGAATGCTTAGGATTTGCTCATTTGAATAAATTTCAGTGGAACTGAGGTAGAAGGCTCTTTTCTTGCCATCTGGTGCCTGGCCCTGGGGTGATTAGAAGAAGGAGATAGCAACTTAGCATCAGAGAGCAGATAAAGGATGAAGCTCAGGGTAGGGACTCTGAACTGCCTGTCTGCATTTAAAGAGCTTGCACTTAGATAGGTGTTTACTCTCTCTAGGAACTGGCTGACCCGGCAAGAAAGTCTTTTCAAGATCATCAAGGCCCTTGATGTAAAAGCAACAGAAATACAGAATTTAAAAGGGCATGATTTATATAATTACCTATGTCTCTGTCCAGGTTATGCATCTTGAAACATTCTGTAAATCTTCATATAACCCTCCCAAACCCAATTGTGCACAAATAAAATCTTTTCACAACCCTCTCACTCCCCAATATGCACAAGTCTTCATATCCCCTCATCATTCCAGTTGCCATATTTATACAATCTCTAACCCAATCATTATTCTTCCCAATGTATGGTGCCCTGATATGAACATTATGACCAATTGGTCTAGTCTTATTGGAACAGAAAAGAGTTAAAGTTAAAATTTTCCTTCATGTACACTTTAACAGCCAAAGATCACATATCTTTTAACCGAGATATCGCTGCTTACAACACTGTGTATGATTTAGGTGAGTAGGCTCACACCTCCTCAGATGCAGGGCATCACACCACATCCACCACCAAAGCTCCCACAGTCCTTTACCCTAGACCAATGGGCCTCCTCACCCTTTTCTCCTCCCCACCCCTCCCAGTAGCCTCAATTCTGCAGTCATATTTCTAGGGGTTGTTTTGCTGTAGTTTTGTCACTTTCCTCTGTTTCTCTGTATTCCACAGGAGTGAAGT